TATACTTTTCCCACATCTTTTAGTTTGGGGATTCAGTGGCTGATGAAGTTTTATAGAGGTGGCCGTCAGTGGAGCATGGAACTCCTTTGGAGTCCATTATTTTCCCTGATCTACTCCCTAATGGAGGAAAAAATCTAGTGAAAAAGACTCAAACATATATGCCCAAAGAAATAAGGTTTTGAATAATCTACTTCCTCCTCCTCCTCCTCTCCTCCTCCTCCTCCTCCTACTCCTGCAACTCCTCCTCCTCCTTCTCCTCCTCTTCTTCTGTACTACAAATTGAACCTAGACTACTTTACCACTGACCTACATCCCCACCTCCTTTTAATTTTCGATTTGGGGATTAAAATTAAAAGTTGCCCAGGCTGTATCTCTAACTTGCCATCCTTCTGCCTCAGCCTCCTGAGTCACTGAAATTATAGACTTCTTGCTTCTTTTTCATGATGGCTCATTTGTCAGTTATCCTATACTCAGCCACTCAATTGAACTCTAAATCACCAATAGAACTGAAGAATGCATATGTCAAAGCCAACCACAGACTGTATGGACACATGACTATTCAGCAATGCATGGCATGTGTACCTTAGGGTGTAGGATTCTAACTTTGTTGGGTATTTAGTGTTTTTCTAGAGTTTTCTGAATGTTTGATTGCTCTCTCTCTGGCCCCTTTTGGTGTGATTTTTATAAAAAACACAAGCATTTTAACACATACACAGCATGTGTTAAAATAGAAAAAAAAAATAATCCATAGGTTACAAAAAATGACTGGGAAACTTCTCCTTGATTTTTAGAACAATGAACAGCTCACAAAAACGCCACAGTTCAGAGGAGCAAAAATTGTTTTGTGTTGAAATTGAAAATGATTCTTTTATAAATGAAGTTGATCAAAATTTCCAGCAGGACCATTGCCTGAAGGAAAGTGTCCTGGGCTCCAGCCTGTTATGCCTAACAATGAACCACACAAGTCTGGACAGATGGTCAGATTCCAAAGTGTTTCTCATGTTACACTATTTTCTTCCCATTAACTCCCCTGAATTGTGCAGGGGAAAGGGAAAATGCTGTAACATTTGAAAAGTATAAAGAATATCTTCAGTACATTTTGGAGAGTCACAAATATTAAACATGATCTTAGTAAACTCTTCTTTTTTAGAAATGTATTCCTGGGCAAAATATGTTTGCTTCCTGTGGATAGCGTGATTTATCTTCCTTCTACCTAGAAATATAAAATAGAAGATGCATTTCTGTAGTTGACTAGGCTGTCTCTTCTCCGTTTCCCTCTCTCAACATTAAGTAACATTATCCATTCGGTTTTGAACTCCAGTGAGGCAGAAAACCTGAGGCTCGTTTTTAACATCTCATGCAGCATCCAGCATCAATACTGCCCTTGCTCCCTAAACAGTTCTCAGATACGTCCGATTTTCTACATTTCTAATACTATCATTCTGGTCCAAAGTCCTGATAGCTCTCACCTGGATTATTGCAATAAGTACCCGTCTTATCTGCCTGCAGTGACCTTCTCCTATTCGCCCATCTGCCAATAGGCACTGCAGCCAAGACACAGCGATCTTTTCCAAATGCAAATCTGGTCATGGGTCTTACGGCCATCAGAAATTAACATTATCACTTTTAGGGTCAAGACAAAATTCCTTACCTGGTGCACACAGCCCTGCATGGCCCTTCCTTACCTCTCCAGCCCCACCTTTTAACTCTAGGCTACCCAACACATCCCTTTTCTATTCCCTCTGTTTTTCCTTCTCCAGAAGGGTCGTTCCCCACTGTTTTCAACTTCATTAAGCCCTATTCCTCTTTCAGAGAGTAACTCAGGCATTACGTCCTCAGGGAAGCCTCCCCTGACCTGCCCTAGCTTTATTCAAATAATTAGGTCAAGTCCTGTTGTTTGCCCCTGTGGAACCACATATCTTATCTTTCACAGCACTTGGACAAAAAGGAGAGATTTATGATGCTTTGCCTCAGGACTGGGGGTTTCAAGTGAGGAAACAGGAGCAAAGGAGTATATTTATTTAATAATCAGACCCCTAAAATTCAAGCCATTATTTCTAAACCACAAAGAAAAATATACATAAACATATTGTATCTAAGATTTCTCAAAAGAACTAGGACGGATAGGGTTGGGGACATAGCTCAGTGGTAGAGCACTTGCCTAGCACATGTAAGGCCCTGGATTCAAGCCCTTGCACAGCAAATAAATAAATACATAGAATGGAATAAAGCCCTTCAAAAAAAAAAAAAGCTAGGGATTTTCAATAAATAGCAGAAATTCTTCAGCAATAAATAAGTTCATTTGTCTGCATTATGACTGAGTATATAATTTAAGAGCAAAAAGCATCTTAAAAATTGTTTAAACCATGCTTCCATGGAAAAAATATATGAGAAAGGTAAATCTCAAAATTGACTCTCATGGGCCTCACAGTTCAATGACAAGAGTATGAAGCGGAAGAATTAGTCAACAAACTGACAAACTGTTGAGCACCATTGTTTGCATTGGTTTCCTTTTTCAAGGTCCTCTTTTCATTACTATATACTGTCCCTGCTTAAACCATTTACATAAACACAACAATTAAAATGTAATTGTCCATTAATTATAATTTTGCTTTTAATTGACAAATTGAAACCATATGTTTCCTGTGTACAACATTATGCTTTGATTGTATTTATACACATACATTGTAGATGGCTAAAACAATCTATAATATGAATTTACCTCACATACTTACTTTTGTGGTGAAAACACTTAAAATATCTTACTAGTTTTCAACTACACAATATATTATCATTAACTGTAGTCACCATGCTATATAATATTGATCTCTTAAACTTATTTCTCCTAATGAAAATCTGTATGCTTTGAACAACATGTCCTCAGCCCCACCACCCATCAACTCTCAGTACACACTTGCCCATCTACTGCTTCTATGGGTCCAACTAAAGACTGCTTTCTACCCTAACAGGATGATACAGTACCAGTAAAACTTTATGGAGAGCCTTTGAACAAAGGGATGATGTGGGCTATTGAAGTTATATTAGAATGCAGTCTGATTTTTTGGTACACAAAACCAGCTCTTCATATTCCTTTATTTCACCTCTCTTTGTATATTAAGTCCTAAACAAGAGATACTAGGAAAGAAGAGTCTTCTTCTTATTTTAAGGCTTGAAGAAAAATGAGTGTACAACTCACCCACAGCACATGCCAAGAAAGTTTGTTCATAACTTTCTCAAACACCAGATGCATTTCTCAGTCTCTGGACTGTCCTCTCATTTAACCAGTCTCTCCCTCTTCCAAGGATCAGTGAGAATGGGACATTATTATTACATGGCTGCTTGCCCACTAAGTCCACTAATAAGCTCTTTTCTTGGTAACAGTAGTACTCAGAAGGGATGGACATGTTCTCCTGTTCTTTGCAATAGCAGTACAATAATAAAATTCCATCTACCCTTTCTACTTGGTTCGTCTTATAACTAGGCAGACTAATGGCCAGATTGCAGCACAAAACTTTGTGACTTATAGACATTCATTGGAAACCATTCAGTCCAACAACTCAATTTGTGCAAGAATGCTTTTCGAAACACCCTAAACAGAAAAGAGATTAAATTCATACTTAGGCTTAAATCCTTCAAGTAACTAGTTCCTTGTGTGAAAGCTCTTTAAGGTAACAAGAACTTTAAATTCAAGAACTCTGCTTGTGTTCATCAACAAATACATGACTATTTTTAACAAAGCAAGCCTGTGATATCCTCAAGCTTTATTTTGGCAGTAAAGTGTATATAAATTCTTTAAAACCAAGGCCATTGGGTAACAGTGTACTTTTTAACCTTACACAATAATTCACTGCTTGTATATTTTCAGCAATTACATCAGTTACAAGGGTTAGCTCAGAAACAGAGGGACTGAAACCATCCAGGAATCTGTTACTCTCTTCTTTTTCAGATTCTCATACTTTGATAATTCAATTCTATGTGCACTAGAAGAGTGTCTAAACCAGACAGAAGCTCCCCTATCCATTCTGGGAAAGTCAGAGAGAGGATAATTTCCTTTGTTCTGTTTACAAGGTACTACTTTAATTAATGAAGATGAAAAAGAGATTTATTAATCAAAGAACTTTTTTTTCTATTTTTTGGTCAAGAATTTTTGTACTTTCAGTGAGTTATTTTGGTCTCAAAATTGCCGTGACTGCAATAGTTCATTACATCACACTCATATTTGCATGAGAAATCTCTCCAATGTTTATATGTTACATGGCAACATAAGTAGATTCTTCCATCTATACGATCGATTTACCCATACGATAGTACTAGGAAATTGGGTTTTCCAGGGTATCACTCCTTTATTTTACTTGGCGGTGTGCCTGGCAGTGAAGAGCTTTAAATTCGACATCTGTCATTGCCTATCTTGGTCCAAATTATATCATGCTAAATAGCATGAAGAAGTCTGCACAGTCGGGAAGTCAGTAGGGGGGTTATGAGTGGTAAACTTCATATTACTACATGCTTATGGGTGAACATTAGAACTGTCAGCCACGTGCTTCCTGTAGATTTCCAGAAAGGTAGAAAGGGTAGTGCCACTGGGATCCAGAGGCACTGACATACATGAAGAATGCAGAAGATACATAAATCATGGCGGACATTCATTCCATTTGGCCCCCTGTGATTCCACCGACATCACTGTGGGTAACCGGGGTCTGCATGGGGACCCTCTCCCTTCTGCACTCGATGCTTCTGAGGTGCTGCCAATCTAAACCAGACCCCGCAGTCATTTCACACACTTCCCTAATAACGTCCTCAGGGGCTGTCATGTATTTTCATGCGTTTGCCCTATTATCCCTCCCTGCTTGAGTCTTACAGATAATTGATGATACTTCAGTTAATCATCTTTCTCCCTCTTTTGTTCACCAGGTACCTCAGCCTTCAAGGGTCTCCTTTATTGAGAATCGATGTCTTCTCCTAGGTAATTGATCACCGTAGACCCAGGGACACTCGATTCATCGTCCGGGGAGGGTRATCATCATGAATAATCATAAAGCTGTAGCTGCACTACTGCAAGAGTGCAAGCAAGTGCTGGACCAGCTCTTGTTGGAGGCGCCAGATGTGTCAGAGGAGGACAAGAGCGAGGACCAGCGGTGCAGAGGTGAGGTTCTGCTGGGAGGCACCAGGGGTGAGCCAGCAGGTTCACTCCCCTCTCCCCTGCCTGCACGACACGTTCTCATCTCTGCCCTATTTTTCTTCTCTTGGCAGATGACCACCGAGAGATGAGTGGATTTCTAGGGCATGAATGGGATGTGGGCTACAGGCGGACAGGCAGGGGAGGAAGCCCACTTTGTCCCAGTGAATTGCTGTCAGTTCTAATTTTAGGCTTCAGTAAACACGAGGCTACAAGAAACAGTTTAGTTCAAGAAGAACAAAGGGTCCAAGTTGGCTGGTGCACGTAAATTTCAATTATTAAAAAATTGAAGTAACTTCTGAATGGTGGCTCATACTTTTTTTCAAACAGGGATTTTGTGCTTCATCAATTTCCATAGACTTCTACAGTTTCCATAAATATGTCATCTCACCAGCCCCATCTCTCTTTTCTTGGTCACCAACACATAGTAAAATAAACCCACTCATCTCTACAAATAGCAATTGCATCATGCTCAGGATTTAAGATTTTGGCTTTGAGCTCATTTTGTAGTTTGTTCTCTTCATCGTTATAGATAAGTCATCAATTGGGAAGTCTCAATCAAAGTCTAGAAAGTGAAAACAATCTTTAGTTCTTCTTTGACCCATTGTGGAGAGGCAACTCTCTGTATTTAGGTTTCCTTTTTATCATATAATTAGATTCTGATGAACTTTTCATATTTTTTTGTATTTTTTAGTGTCTTGCTATTTCACGCAAAAGTAAGATTCCCAAATGAAATGCACACTCACCGAGTCCTTTTGTTGTTCATTATGTAATGGAGGAATGTTCTGAATGCTTTCTTCATCACTTTCTTGTATAAAAGTACATTTTACAGGGATACTTTAAAGCTCTTGTGGGATCGATTATGGGTTTCCTTTTGTTTGACTAGCCAGGTGCCCCCACGTGTGACTTTGCTTGCATATGCTTAGCCCGATATCACCAACGTTTTTTGATGTCAGACCCTTGTCAGGGAATGGCAGGTTCCTGGGCATCTACTGAAGATGCCTTGTTGCTGGTCCTAGTTCTCCCCCGGGGGCAGTGCGTTCCTTGTGTGGAGTCGTTTCTACTCAAGTTTTTCTCTTGACCACTTACCCCATCTCACGCTTTGGGTTCTCAACCCAAATTCCCTTAAGCTTTATGTTCTCCCTAGTAAAGCCTCTGAGCCCCCTGATCGGGTAGCATTTTCTTCCCGAGTGTCACAGAATGGGAGAAATAATCAGTTTAGTTACAGATAAGGCAAATCACGGCTGTCAAATCACTAAATTAGACACGGTCCTCCAGGTAAGCTCTGTGGGGAGATCAGTGATCGCAGAGGCAGAGGCGGCGGCTACCGGGTCGGATTTGACAGTCTGGTGATGGCTGAATCCCGTAAACCGATGGAGAGGAATCTTCCTGGGCAGAGCCACCCAGGACCGCAGCTTCCCCACCCCCGCGGCCGAGCCGCGTGCTGCACCGCAGCGCAGGCGGTTGACCGCGCGCGGGGCGGAACGCGCGCCCTTAGCCTGGCAGGTGGTTTCTGAGCATCTCCAGCAGGCGGGTCCTGCCACCACCGATGTCGTCAGCTCTTGTGCCCCCGAGAGAAAGGCATTAGTACAGGGTCACTTCTGGCGGCAGGGCGAGCCAGCGGGCTCTGAAACACAAACAGTGGTTTTTATGTTTCTCCCTTCCACCTCTCAACCACATCCGGGGAGCAGAAACTGAAGTCCAAAGAGATCATCTTTTACAGATGTATTTTAGAGGCATCTTTTCTTTCAGTGTGTTCCACTGGACTGCTCATGGTCTGGCATGATCTGTAGGGAAGAGGTGGGGTGCAGGAGGAAAACCTGAGCTGTAAAGAATAAGCCTTCTCCATTTTGATGAAGCCATTTGGAAAGACTAAACTACTCAGTCCAAAGGGCGATSAAGATCTGGGAACCCAGAGATTACATTTCTGCTGTCATGAGGCGACTTATGTTCATCACAGTGTCCAAATAATTTACCAAACTGGGACACTTTTGAGACAGAAAGGGACACTATTGATAAGTACCCTAGGACGACACAGGACCCTTCTAAGCAAACAGGACTGAATGGTCATCCTAATACCCTTGAAGAAATTTTCTCTACACATATATCAGAAACATTTTCAGAAGCTACAATTTGGTCTGTGGCAGTAAGAGCCAGCTTTGCCAGCAGACTGTGATCCCACAGGTCCCAGATGTCAGGGTTCCACTTTCAATGTGGGAATTGCTGTTGCAGAGTATTGCAGAGTCGGTGCTCAGGAGCCCCAGGCTGCTGAATACCAGGAGTGGGGGGTGTTCAGAGTGACACTTATAAGTCATTATAAGTGTCAATCAGTGCAGATAATTCACTGGTGTGGCCTATATGATATCCCCTTCAATGTCAAGCAGTCCTTTCCTGACAGGAAACTTCCTTTCCTTTGCCTAGTTGGCAAGTTAAAAAAAAAAAAAAAAAAAACATCAAGAACTAAGGTACAGTTAGATTTTCTTCCTTCTCTTCTTTTGGTTTTTGTTCTCTCTGTCATATCTCTTTTGCCCTATTCAGCATGCCTCATGTAGACACAACAGTAACCACATCTTTTAACCATGATGGTCTTCTACCCATCATGATGTGATTTACAAAAGGAATGGGACATGAGACATGATATCTGTTTGCAGGAAGCTCCCAGCCCAGTGAGACAGACAGGTGTAGTTAAGGAGGAGGTATGAAGGCTGAAAGGAGCAAGCACCTGTGGTTTAAGAGCACAGAAAGGTATTTTCAAGTCCTCTTTGAGGTCATGGTAAGCTGGAAAATGACAACCTTTGCATTGAAGACTGAAGGTAGTGGGTCTGAATTTGATCGTCAAGGCATTGAGTGAGAGGGATACAGTCAGAACAGGATGTACAAAATTCAATAATTAAAGAATTTTATACAAGGCAATAGCCTGATCTATCTTGTTTTTAGGGGAAAAAGGGGGAGATCAAAAATAAAGAAGATGATCCAGAGAGGATATGGAGAAAAGGAATACTTTTACATTCTTGTTGGAATTGTAAAATTAGTACAACCACTATAGAATCARTATGGAGGTTCCTCAAAAGACAAAAAATGGAACAACCATAAGATCAGGCTATGCCACTCCTCAGTATTTATCCTAAAGAATTAAAGACATCATACTATAGTAATACATGCATACCCATGCTTATAGCAGCACAATTCACAATAGCCAAACTATGGAACCAACCTAGATGTTCATCAGTGGGTAAATCGATAAAGAAAATGTGGCATATGTATACAGTGGAGTTTTAATCATAAAGAAGAGTGAAATTATTTCATTTGCAGGAAAATGGATGGAACTTGAGAACACTATCTATGTTAAGTGAAATAAGTCAAACTCAGAAAGTCAAGAGTCATATGTTTTCTCTCCAATGTGTCAGGTAGAGAGGAAAAAGGAAAAGAAAAGCAGGAAGTGGGAAGGAATCTCAGGAAAATCCAAGGGAAATCAATAAAGTAGAAGAAAATAGCCACGGGGAGGAAAGAAGGGAGGGAAAGGAGAAATACTGGGGAATAATATTGGCCAAATTATATTGTTATAACATGTCTATGTATGAATATGTGGCAATGAATCCCACCACTATGTATAATTGTCGGGCCCCAATAAAAAATATGGAAAAATAAGGAATATTCGGTGAAATTATAAACAGCAATTCAAGCAAAAATTATTGAAAAAGAAGAGGAGGAAATGAGTTTTAGAAATGACAGGATTCAACAACCAGTTAGATTCAGGGAGACAGAGAAAGTAAATGTCTAGACTAATGTCTGAGCTTCAGACTTGGGTGATTTTGTGCATGGTGGTACCATTCATCAAAAAAGAGAATATGAGGGGAAATAAGTTCAGAAAAGAGCTGATGAGCTGAGTTTTGTACGTGTTCAGTGTGAGATACCTGCAAGATAAGTACCACGAGATTTATAGCTGGCAATCATGTATATAGGACCATGGTCCTTTATCCAGAACCCTGAAGATCACAGGTACTTCAAAATTCAGACTTTTCCCAATGGGAGGAGGGTCTTTGGGTACATATGTTTCTATTCATTGTTGAAACAGAAGGTAGGGTGGCAGCTAAGATAGACATCAACCTTTTTTTTTTTTTAAGCAAAACTTCTAAGTAATCTCACTCAGTAGGATAATTGGGACTATAAATTGCCCTACCCAATTCAAGTCTAGTTTGGATTGTAAACATAAGGAGAATTTTCTACTTTCCAGAGATTTGGGGGTTTCTGGATTTTGGATAGAAGACTGTGAACCAGTAGGAATAGATTTGGTGCTCACTGAGAGATTTAAACATAGCCACTAACATGAAATTAAGGCTGTTTCACATTTAATTAATCTCTCTTCAAATCTCATCTGTGTTTTTCATATTGATTGTCTGGACTCAAGTGTTGTCCATGGTGAAAGAATGAGATGGGGTCTTAAAGAAGCAAAAAGAGGTTGAACAAACTTACGGTTTACATTACCCAGCTGCCACAAGCCCACAATACCATTCCATTCCAGTCCCTTTCTCATTTTACAGGGAAAATAATATTTCCTCCATTCCTTTCTCTGATTCTTCATGCAGAGATAGTCACTGAAGTGCTTTACTTCCTGCTAAAAACCTTTCTTAATGCCTGACTACCCCAATTTACCTGTAGGGCAAAGGAGAGCAGGGCCACCCCTGACAGATAGCTCCTTGCTATTATTCTTTGAGTCAGAAGCAACAGCTCAGACCAGCCACAAGAACTAGGGAAAAGTGTTTTTGCTACTGAGGTGCTTCATCATAACACGGGGGAGTTCAACAGCCTTTTCTTTGACTGCAATTTCCTTACCTGAACTCTGACCTCTGCAGCTTCACTCCCCAGCGAGTTAAGGACCCTGATCCAGGAGGCGAAGGAAATGAAGTGGCCCTTCGTGCCTGAAAAGTGGCAGTACAAACAAGCCATGAGCCCAGAGGACAAAACAAACCTGCAGGATGTGATTGGCGCCGGGTTGCAGCAGTTACTGGTAGGAAGAGCTCCACCACCTGCCCCTCTGACATCCCCAAGTGAGGCCTTTAGTCTCTAAGTGGTCTAATAGATTACATTTCTTTGAAGCAAAAGACAGTCCCTATCTTTATGGTCTGCTCTGCCAGATTGACTAATGTAGGGGAAATTGCTGTTCGAAAAGCATCTGCCTGGAAGATCTGATGTTGGAAAGGCATACCTAGTAAAAGTGAACAAGGGTGGTGGGTGGGTCCAATATGAAACCTGTCATCCTGAACCATTTAGGCATCCTTGGTGAACCAAAGCAGTTTTGATTCCACAAGGCCTCCAAGCATTCTTATTTTAAAATGCCACTTTCTAAAAGTTGGGTAGCTTTAAAAAAATAAATTATGCACTGCCTCATCAAGGTGACTTGCTGACTAAACTGTTGAAGTTTAACAGTAATTGAAAACATAATTTAAGCCCTCCGAATTAATCATAATTTAATAGAGGCCATCAAAAACATATAATTCAAGTCCTCCTGTTAGGATTTTATTTGACACTTTTTCAAGCCTCGGGATATTTCAAAACATCATTCACTATCTCTGATGGTATTTAGGCTCAACATTCTTTATAGCAACAGGATTTCATGGTTTATATGAGATTGTTGGCTCTATTTTCTTAACAGTGTTTCTCCTACACCAATTGAATTATTATTATTCATCTAATCACCACTTTGGTTTTGAAGTCTCTGCTTGGTATTGACACTTGGTTGATGTAGTATGATTATTCCTATATGTTTCTAACTATTGATGAAAGTCAGATTCACTTGGTATTAAGTGGTACAATTGACTTCCATCCAGTTTTCATAAAATCTGAAAGAGAATAATAAATGTAATAGTAACTATTTATTAATATTATGTTTTCTATTCTGTTTGTCTCTGCCATATTTTGACTCCCACACCTAAATATAAAATCAGGTCCATATGAATGTGGATTAGTTTATATCCCTTCCCTGGATCCCACCTGGGGTTTTATTTGTTCCCTTAACTTCTCATGTTTAAGGCTGTTTGGGAAGCATCAGGTCAAGGTCATTGACATGCTTATCCTCAACTCATCTATCAGAAATGAATTCAGTGGATACCTCTACTCCAGATAGGAGAGAACTTCAGGAACAGCATAGGAACCCTGGTTAGGGCTAATAATTCAGGCTTAGATTAGGTTCTGGGGATTTTTTTTTTTTTTTTTTTTTTTTTGGTGGTGGTACTGAGAATCAAGCCCAGGGCCTCATTAATTATTTTGTTTTATTTTTATTTTTTAAATTTTTTTTCCTTGGTGGTACTGTAGATTGAACCCAGGGGCACTTTACTACTTGAGCTACATTGCCCAGACCTTTTTCAAAATTTTATTTTGACACAGGGCCTCACGCAGTGGCTGAGACTGTCCTCAAACTTGAGATCCTCCTGCCTCAGCCTCTGGAGTAGCTGGGATTATGGGCATGTGCCACCATACCCAGCCCATTTTCCTTTTTAGTGACATTGTTTTTGTGCCTACATTCTTTCAGGAGGTTGTCAAGGAAGCCTACTGGCTTATAGGTATTTTTTTCATCACATAAAATTTCCTTTGTTTGGAGATCAGGCATTAGAACAATGACAACATCCCAAAATTTCTACTCTCTCAGTTTACATGGGATTGTGTTTTGGGATCATCCCAAAAATAAATGTATAGAAATTGTCCTTAACTATTGAAGCATAAATCTAGGAAAGACCCCTTGATCTATGGACATTCAACAGCACATTTAGGGACTTACCAGAAACAGTGAAACCTCCACTTCTCTCATACCCCCGACAAAACTAAACAAAACAGGTTAAGCAGACTGGAGATGGCAAGCCCAGGAAAAGTGAGTACTTGGAAAGAATGCAGTGTTGAGCCAGCAGTTTTAAATAAATGTGGTTGGTATTAGTGGAAAAGTGGAATGAAATAAGTATAATTTTTTAAATCACTATTGAGTCTGCAAAGTGTTTGCATGTGCATAATCTCATTTAATTTCTCAAGATAGCCTTATGGTGGTTATCACCGTTATTATCTTCATTTTACAAAGGAGGCAACTAAGGTGCAGAAAGACAAATTTGTCCAAGGGAACGGAGGAGTATATGGGAGAGCTTTGACTTTTAGCCTCCTCTTTTTTCCAATCCCAGTTTTCCATCAGGAAGCCCTGAGATGTGTTCAAGCAGACTGTCCAGGAGACCTCCTCTAGAAGGAGTCTGTCCAACAAGACAGCCACTAGTTGCATGTGGTTCTTGAGTACTTCATAGTGCTAGGCCATATAGGATTAAATGGAACAAAAAGTTTCCCCCTTTTTTCCCCCTGCAATACAACAGCATTAGAATATAAACTACTAATGGAGAGGAAATAAAATCCAAAGCCTAGAGGGAAGGGAAATGCGGTGTTTACAAAGTATTTTCCATGAGACATTAGAGTGGATGCTCACCCATCATTTATAGTTTTATTGACTTTTTGTTAATTCCTATGAAGACAGCCACATGTGGCCAGGGCCACCATTCTACTGGACAGTGCATCTCTACTTCAGTGCTTTTTACAGCGAGACCTCCCAAGCACAGTGTCAGAATCCCACAGGAACTTGGAAATTCCATATCTTGGGCCCCCATCAACAATCCTCTACACAATCAAAAATCCTGGGAGTGGAAACTCAGCACTTAGCATTAGACAAGGGCTCCAGATGATTATGAAGGCTGAAGTTTGAGAACTGCTGCCCTGAAGAAAAAAAATAGAGGGGAGAATGAGAGAGAAAGGCAGATCCTTAATGGAGAGGTGAGGACCAAAGGGACAAGGTAAAAAGAAAAGGAGAATCCCAAGTGAAAACTGAGACCAGCCGAGAAAGACATCTCTTCTCCATCAATTCTGGGAGTTGTTGCTTAAATGGGAGCTGCTCTGGAGGAGCCCACCAGAGCTTCCCTTGCTCAGGGAGTCCTTGTATGATTAGGCTGGTGGCACAGGGAATGCTACAAGCCTTCCTGGGAAACTGAGAGCAGAGTGGCTGTGCTGAAAGCAGTCCCGGCTTTGACCATTGGGTGAGAAAGTTCCTCTGACTTGGAACATAGGGTGAGGCATCTTTGGGACGTAGCACACCACTGTTAACAGGCTTTCACTTCTCTGGTTTCATCCTGCAATCACCAGTTTCGCCTCCCTGTTTCCAAAGTGGGTAGCAACGTTAGTTGAAAAATTGAAGCTGATGTTTTTAGACTCTGGAGTCTCCGTGCATCTGGGGGTTAATGTGAGCTGGGAGAGGAGCTGTTCAAGGTTGTTGAACTGTTTTTAGAGCACATTCATCACTCTCTCACTACACTTCTATGTATTTCACAACTGTGGAAACAGAGGCACCGAGAATTGAAGAAGTTTGTGTCCGGTTCACAAGGTCACTCAGTGGCAGCTCTAAGAATCAGTCCATTAGGCCTCCTTTAGTCCCTAAGGTATTTAATCTGGGAGCTTTTTGAACTCTGAGCATCATTTTCTTTAGCTTACCCAGCAAGCTATAAATTAGGAACCACACCTCCTAAGACTTTTAGGGCACTTTCCTATTGTGCCAGACCCCAAGTGCACAATTGCTAAACCACTCTGTTTGTAAATACAGAGAACTATAGCGCCCTGTGGGCCAGGCTCTCTCCAACTCTCACTGCTTTTAATATCTTAGCTTGTTTAAAAAAAAAAAAAATAGCTTGAATAAACTCCATGGCTCATTTTTGTCCCAGTACACCATCAGTTTCAACCTCACAACTTAATGAAGCTGAGTGGCCACGTTTTAATAATGGACAAGTTGTGAGTTTCCACTCTGACATAAGTAATAGTCAAAGGCCCATGAGTTGGTCTTTTCAGTCCTTATTTTTTTTCTTACAGTTTGTTTATGACTTTGTGTTTTGTTTTGTTTTGTTTTTAACCTTGACATGGAATCTTTCCCATAAAAATCCCCCTCCTTTAAAAAAAATTAATATTACACTTCGAGGATAAAATACTGTGTCATTCAGTTAATTCCACAAATAACAGCAACATAAAATACATAAGAAAAAGGTAAAATCAGAACTCTTTTTCACAGTTACCGAACTGGTGAATTTCATGGTCATTTATAATGTTCTCAGCCTGAACTTTATCAAGAAAAAAAAAATTTATGTGTGTTTTGTGCTTTGCTTTCTTCTCAACACCCCTCCCCAGACCCTCCCCCCCCTGCCCCACACCCGGCTCCCTCCCTCCTCCCCCACCCTCCAATCTTTTTCCCTTTGGTGTGTGGCCACAGACAGAAATTTATGGCAGGGGTCAACCTCCTTTACACTGCACACAAAGCTTGCTGACTTGAGAGAGTTTGTCCCCCTCTCCCAGAAAAAACACCTGCAGTACGCTCCCCAAGAAACCTGGAGAGATGGGAGATTAATGTGGCTGTAATAGCCGGGCAGTGTTCTGGGTATTATGCCCTCTCCCCAGGTAGATGGGTCTTTTCCGAGATGATACCAATTATTTATTGCTGAAACATCTGTTGATAACTGCAGCTGCCCTTGTAAAACAAAGCATATCGTAGGGTCACAGGCTATGGGGACCTAAAATCCTGCCTCATGCTAGCTTCAGTCTATTCAGCAACACCCTCGAGTCCGTGGGTTACCATCCTCTCTAATGTCTCATCGTGCCATGGAAAATACTTTGTAAACACGGCACTGCCCCTTCCCTATAGGCTTTGAAGTATTATTTCATCTTCATCGGTAATTTATATTCCAGTGCCATTGTACTGTGGGAAAAAGAGGGGGAACCTTTTTGTTTTCCATTTAATTGTATATCGCCTGACACTTTGACCTGTATTATTAGTATTAGTCAGAAAAAGGATTTTCTCCCTCTCTTATTTAAAAATAAAATTTCAAGGGAAAGTAAGCACTCCTTCAGCTCTTTTCACTCAAAACAATGTTTACACTCTGAGAGGGAAAGATGAAAAGCAGGAGCAACTTTTTTCAAGTGCCGGAGAAGGGCATTTCAGTTTTTGAA